TGACCTGCAACTTGGGAATAAAGAGCCATGCCTCATCTCCCTTACCAGAGGTTTCTCTTGGCTTCTTTGGGTGAGGGCAGGGGTTGGTTGGGTTTTTGTTGGAGGGTTCTGTTTGTTTTGTCAACAATTTAAAAGCTGAATTAAAGACCAATGTGCAGGGCTATCTTCAGCAGATGACAAATTGTTGTTCCAGAACAAGCAAAACTTGTGCAGCAAAGATCAGCTTTTGGTTTGCTGGGAGATGTTCAGGTTCTTGTTAATGAACTGCAGAACACTTTCCTTTAATTACTGCATTAGACCCATAGGCTATGGGGGCTATGGATTTGTAGGCTTGCTGCCTTATCCTGTGGATGTAAATCCATGATGTATAGTGGCCATCCAGAAACAGGAACATGCCTGATTAATCACCCCCACGAAACAACTGCAGAGAGCAAGACAGAGACCTCCAAAATCTGGTTCAGTGCTGCTTTTGCAATTCCAACCGTGAAATACCACTGCACTAATGTAAAAGACGAGTGTTGAAAGCATCCAGGCTGCACCTGCAGAAGCGCTTTGGCAGGAGGGCCTGGAGTGGATCTGCAGGTGCCTGACAGGAGATTAAAGATCTCCCCGAGAGCACAGGAACCCCTGGGGGAGCACATCAAACATGGAACTACCCGGCTGCTCCGGTAATGAGGGGAGCAGACCTTCCTCGGGCACACCGAGGGTCAAACAGGCTTTTCCTGTGACTGCAGGGACAGGCAGCCCTCCCTGCTGCCCACCTCCAAAAACTGCCCAGGACACAGAGAGGGGTCACAGCGTCCCAGACAGAAAATACAAACCCTTCTCCACTCAACAGGTGCTGGCCGTGCTGGGTGAGGCAGCCAGAGGAGCTGCTGTGGCTGCCCACCCGTGGGTGATTCACCCAGCCCCGGGCCATCCCTGCTGCAGGGGCTTCAACAGCAGCAGCACGGGGGTCCCTGGCCCCTCACAGCCCGTGTGCACATCAAGGACAGCCCATCCCTCCCAAAGAGGAGGGACTGTCTCCAGCCCGGGGGCTGGGGGAGCACGGGGGGGACAGGAGGGGTCTGGGGTACAGAAGGAATTGAGAGCACTGGGGGGACAGAAGGAACCTGGAGCACAGAGAGGACAGGAGGAGTCTGGGGTACAGAGGGGACAGGAGGAATCTGGAGCACAGGGGAACAGGAGGAATTGGGAGCACAGGGGGGCCAGAAGGAATTGAGAGCACAGGGGAACAGAAGGAACCTGGAGCACAGGGGGGACAGGAGGAACCTGGAGCACAGGGGAACAGAAGGAATCTGGGGCACAGGGGGACAGAAGGAATGGGGAGCACAGGGGGACAGAAGGAATGGGGAGCACAGGGGGGACAGGAGGAATCGGGAGCACAGGGGGGACAGGAGGAACCTGGAGCACAGGGGAACAGAAGGAATCTGGGGCACAGGGGGACAGAAGGAATGGGGAGCACAGGGGGGACAGGAGGAATCGGGAGCACAGCGGGACAGAAGGAAGGGGGAGCACAGGGGGGACAGGAGGAATCGGGAGCACAGGGGGGACAGGAGGAACCTGGAGCACAGGGGAACAGAAGGAATCTGGGGCACAGGGGGACAGAAGGAATGGGGAGCACAGGGGGACAGAAGGAATGGGGAGCACAGGGGGGACAGGAGGAATCGGGAGCACAGCGGGACAGAAGGAATGGGGAGCACAGGGGGGACAGGAGGAATCGGGAGCACAGCGGGACAGAAGGAGTCTGCTGACAGAAGGAACCTGCTGGGGACAGGAGGGCGCAGGAAGGCAGCCATGGCCCAGTCTCCTTCACAGCCTGCACTCCTCTGAGGCGCTGCTTGGCTTCCTGGAGGGCAGCCCTGGCGCCCTGAGCTCAGCACCCCCTGCCCACGCAGGCAGCCCCACGGTCCCAGAGCAATGCCGGCACACAGCACCAGCAGCTCCAGCACTGACCCTGCCTCCAGAGGCGCTGGCTGCTGAGCTGGGAGCCTGTCCAGCTCAGTACAGCGGAGCTGGAATGTCTGGCTGTGGCCTCAGCCCCAGGAGAGCTGCACCCAGGTGTGTTGTTGTGAAAATGCCCAGCGCGGCGCTCGGAGGGTCCTGCCCTCCTTCCCAAGGATCCAGCCACCCACCGGGCATTGGGAGAGCTGGGCCAGCAGGAAGCTGTGACGGAGAGGAACAGCATGCAAACACTTTGCACAGGGCCTTTGAGGAGAATTGGCACGGTGTGGAGAGAGGAGAGAGCACGAGGAGGGACAAACGGAGGCAGAGTGGGAATGCAGGAACAGAGGCACCTGCAGGGCTGGCCTGGGAAGCAGCAGGGACAGGGGAACAGGGGAACAGGGGCATGGGCAGGGACCAGCCCATGCCTGCAAGGGAACAACCAATGTAAAACCCAACGTCATCAAACAAAACCCAGGTACATAATTCAGGCACCTAATTAAGATTAGAATTGCATAAAAACCCGTTTGCCGACCCTGATGCATGAAACACACCAGGGTGATGTTTTCCAAAGCTGCCCCTTGAATTTCTATTGACCTGCCCACTGTCCCTGCCCACTGTCCCTGCCCACAGTGCCCCAGGAGCACACAAACCACACAGATGAGCTGTGGAGCAGCTCTGCCTGCCCTCCTGGCTCAGACAAAGCCAGGTTATTCCACAGACAGGTTCGTTAGGAACTGAACTGCTGAAAAATGAGCTGAAATTGTGAAATTCCATTTTTGATGCATACAATTTGCTGTGCAGATCCAGTTCACAAGCACCTCCCTCACTCAGCCTTCCCCTTCCCAGCACTCCTGAGCTCACACTCAGTCACACTTTCTTGCCAAAATATAGTTTCACTCCACAAAAAGCTCCCTTCGTTCTCCCCTGTAATGAATTCCAGCTAAACCAATGTCTCACAGTCGGACACGGGCCAGGATTGCCAGCAAAGCAGCGAGCTCAGCTCACTGTGCTCCCCGTAAGGCTGCCCCGGGAGATCCCAGCCACATCACAATAAAATATTCCACATGTTCCCCAGCCACCTTCCGGAGGGAGAGCTCTGTATCTCTTGTAATGTAATGCTCTGCCTCTCAGCAGTGGGAGCTGCAGCTTAATGATAACAGGCAGCACATCCTGAGATGAAAACCCTGCTCTTAAAATATCGACAAGGTCCACGTACATTTAAAACATTTGTTTTTATTTTAATGCAGATTTTCAGATATGTGATTTTGGAAAATATTCTCAGAAGTTATTTCAGTTCATTGTCTACCATGTCTACAAATTAAGGAGACTGGCACAAATAATTTAAAAATGTCTTTTACCTTGAGTTTAAACTCACAGAAGCAGAGCATTGGAATGTGTCACTGCAGAAGCCTTGACCTCAGTCTCCCAGAAGAAAAAAATTGATGAACTGAAAGAGAGCAATTGATGCTTTTCTTTTCAGACAGCAATTAAGATGGAGAAAAGGCAGCTAACAACAGCCTCTCACCCTCTCTGGCACACAGGGGAACAGAATTCAGCGTGAGCTGTTAACATTTCCCTGTTCTTAGGGTGGCACCTGAAGATGCCGCCTCAGGATCCAGTGCAGGGCTCAGTTGAGGCGTTGTTCCTTTTCCTGGGACCCCCAGTGCGGTGACACGAGTGGGGCAGCGTTTCCTGGCCCAGCTCCCGTGCTGGGTCAAGGTGAGACCGTCCAACCCTGGGACAGCAAACAGCAGCCAGGGAATCCCAGCAGTGAAGCTCTAACTGCCCTACACAGAACACCCCGCTCCTGCCAACCTCCCGAACTCCCACAGCTCACACTTGATTTTGAGCTCATCTGAACCATTTCAGAACCTTTAAAAAGATATTTGAGCCTTTATCTTATCTTTAAAGCTTTGTATTGCCTTTACATCTCCAGTCGGACTCCTAGGAGGAGGTTTGCCCTAGAATGACACACTCAGAGAAGAAAGCTGTTGTCAGTCGAGTTTGAGGCTGTCACAGACAGCCGAGAAAAGCCCCTGGAGCACCGACAGACGCCTCCACAACGAGAGGGAACGTCCTGCAAACCGAACTGAGGGTGTCCCGGCCAGTCCTGGGAGGGGTCGGGCACGAACACCCCGGACAGAGAGAGAACGCTCCTCGAGTGCGGGGCAGCCGAGCCCCGGCGGGCGGCCCGGGGGATGCGGGGTTCCTGTGCGAGGTTTGGGGATGCGGGGTTCCCGTATGGGGCTGGGGGATGCGGAGCCGGGGGATGCGGGGTTCCCGTGCGGGGTTTGGGGATGCGGGGCCGGGGGATGCGGGGCTGGAGGATGCGGGGTTCCTGTGTGGGGTTCCCGTGCGGGGTTTGGGGATGCGGGGTTCCCGTGCGGGGTTCCCCCTGTGCGGGGCTCCCAGGGAGCGGCGGCGCCGGTCCCGCAGCATCCCCGCAGAGGCGCGGGCGCTCCTCCCTCCCTGCCCCGCAGCGAGCGGTGCCGATGGGGCTGCGGGGAGCCCGGGGTGCCCCGGGGGAGGAGGCGGTGTCGGGTTTGCCCCTGCCCGGCCCGGAGCGGGAGGCGCAGGTGGGGACGCGCAGGTGGGAACGAGGGCCGGTGCCGGTGCCGGTGCGGGTTTGTGCGAGGGATGCGAAATGAGTTAATTCTGCTCGGAATGGGAAGGAGCTGACGTGTGGAGACGCCTCTGGGGGATGAGCCGCCGGCGGGGCCGGGAGCGCTCGCACGGCCGGGCCGGGCACACGGGGCCGGGGCACAGGGCGGGCACGGCTGCGGCTGCCCCGGCTCTCCTGCCCCCGCAGCCCCGCACACCGCACGGGCACCGCGGGGCAGCCGTCGAATGACAGCGCCTTGGGTCGCGACGCCGACCCGCGGCTGAGGGGAAACCCGAGAGCTGGGGGCTGGTCCGTGGGCGGGTTTTCCTTTCAAGTTAAGAATTCCTTTTTGCGATGGCTTAACCCGAGCGGCTCGGCTCGGCTCGGCTGGCGCCCCGTGTTCCGCTTCCCCGCAGGAGCCGCCGGGGATGGCAGCGTAGGAGCGCGCACGATGCGGGCCCCGCGCACGGAGTGGGGGCCCCGCTGGCTGGGGACGCTGCTGGCCGCCTGCCTGGCCACCCTGCCGGCCGCCAGCGCCTGCCCCCGGCCCTGCGCCTGCCACGGCCCCGCAGAGCTCCACTGCACCTTCCGCTACCTGAGCGCCGCGCCCCCGCGCATCCCGCCCGACGTGCAGCGCATCAACCTGGGGTACGTGAGCCGCGGGGCCGGGCGCTCCGCACCGCAGTGCGATACAGCGCTGCGCTTTGCCTTTCGGCGCTGTGCGCGGCACTAATTAACCGCCCCGGTTCGGGGCTGAATGTAACCGCAGCTATAGGTGAGTCTGTAATGCTCTGCAGCGCTCAGCAGGGGCTGCAGCCGCAGCCTGCAGAGCCCGAGACCACCCACAGAAAGGAGAAATTCCGGGCATGTAGCACAGGACAGCGAGAACTTCACAAAGTTTTGAACTTAACTTTCCTTTATGTTACCTGAATGTGTTGTGTCTGTAGCACGGAAGCTGGAAGAAGGCTGAAATAGATTTCTCTCTGGGGAAGGATAGCCCAGAGCTCAGGAGGTGGTCTGGAAAGGGAGCACGGGTATTAAATCTGCAGAGACTTTGCAGTGATGCAACACCAAGGTCGGCGGTGAGCCATTCACTTAGGGGCTGGACTCGGTGATCCTTCTGGGTCCCTTCAGATCCAGCCTGCTCTGTGATTCTGTCACTCAGGATGTCCCACAGCGTTAGGGTCCATGCTTTCAGCTGCTCAGTTCAAGGGAAATTTCCCTTGTCTGGCCATGTCAGCCTCCACGGTGGCTCCGTTCTCTGTGTGGTTAAAGGAGCAGGAATAGATCACACCCAGGCTTGCCTGGCCTCTCCATGCAGTTTCCAGCAAGTGTCCTCTCTCCTAAATCAAATGATGAGACCCATCAGCAGTATTTGTCTGATCTGTGTGTCCCTTTTGATGCACATACCCTTTGAACCATGCAGATGTGTCTGCAGAAATACACAAGGAACTTTTCACTGAAGTGTAGCACAGTGAGCACAGACAGATGTGCTTCATGCTGTCACTCACCCCACCCACTGGGAATTCACCATCAGAGCCCTGTCCTGGAAAAGCGACCACCTTTTGTGCCAACCTGAAGGAATGACTCACTTGCCTCTTGGCAAGGGCAGTGCTGCTCACCTTCAGCCGTTCCCAAAGAGTGGTGCTTTTGTTTTGGGTTGGTTGGATTTAAAAGCTGCGAGCTGACTAAACCCATCCCATACAGCTACAACAGCCTGAGAAAACTCAGCCCCACGGACTTTGCTGGCCTGGAGAAGCTGGAGCTGCTGATGCTGCACAGCAATGAGATCAGCACCGTCCCTGAGAAGGTGTTCAGAGATTTACGCTCGCTGCAGGTAAGAGCTGAATGAGCAGTGTTAATTTGGTTATGATTTAACTCCCAGTGATACTGGTAGGCAGCCACAGGGCAGCCTTCTGCAGCATTTCAGTGTCCTGTTTCTTACCTTATTCATGTGGAAGCCAACAGCCTTCAGAATCCAGTGTCCTGGTGGGAAATGTCTTTCCTTCCCAGGCAGGCACTCAGGTACAGGGTACAGAGCACAACAAACACTTTGGTAGATATCTCTCAGCTGTGCCTTAGCAGGAAACTGCAGTCAAAACTCTTCCTACAGAGCAGAAAGATTGCAAAGCTCCAACTACTCTGTCTGAAAAAGGAAACCTGTCGTTGTTAATTTGTTAGTCAGTTTGGGGCTTTTTGAGGATTTTTTTCCCACTGAGATTTCCCTTTCCCTTCAGTACAATCCTGTCCCTTTCTAGCCTTCATGAAAAAAGGCCAAACTGTGCAGAAATTTAACACTGCATATAAACACTTCAGTTCTTTACAGAAATTCCAGTTACCTGGCATTCCTGGTCTGGTGAAGAACTGTCACTGCACAGAGCAGCCTTCAGCAGCATTTATTAGGGGTCCTATAACTTTAACATGGCTTAATATTATGCATTTGCTACTTTTTCATGAACAGGTCTTGAAAATGAGTTACAACAAGGTCAGAGTGCTTCAGCAGGATGTATTTTATGGCCTGAACAGCTTGGTACGGCTGCATATGGACCACAATCAAATCGAATTTGTGAATCCCAATGTTTTCTACGGACTCACCTCCTTGAGGCTGGTGCACCTGGATGGAAATTTCCTTCAGCAGCTGCACCCAGACACTTTTGTGACCTTGCGCTATAGCCAAATATTCAGAATTTCCTTCCTGAAGCACATCTCTCTGTCTGACAATGCGCTGACTTCACTGCCACAAGAGATGTTGTCCTACATGTCCGAGCTCGAGAGCATTTACCTCCATGGAAACCCCTGGTCCTGTGACTGCAGCCTGCAGGGGCTGGCAGGGTGGGCACAGGAGAGACCAGGTGAGCTGAGGGCTTTGTTCATGCTCTTCAATCCTGTTGTAGCATCCTGCTCTTCCTGATACAGGTAATTGTCCTTTACTCACCTGTTTATTCTCCCAGAAAGGACTGGAAGGTAGGATTTGTATAGGTGTGTGCAATCAGGATAAGGAGATTAACACCGCTGCATTTCCCAGATAAAATGAATCTTGTGGCCATTCCCAAGTGCAGCTTTTCTTAACGGAGAATTTTCCTTGGCCAGTCCAAAGCTTCTGTGCACTGGGAGAATCCACAGGGAACAAGCAAACTTCTGTGGAATTGGCAAGAGCAAGAGACACATTGCACTTGCCTCTTTAAAAAGAAAGTCAGGAACTCAAGGGGCTCTGGGACTTTCTCTGCTGCTGCCATCCACATGTCACTTCAAGCTTTGGTTTTGTTTTTTTCAAAAGAACCTCTAGTTAGTAGCTATATGTCATTTTTAACACTAAAACTTGTAGCACAGAAACTTACTGAGGTTTTCTTCCCTTCAGATGTTATAAAGTGCAGAAAAGAGAGAAATTCTGGTGTCCAGCAATGCCCGGTCTGTGCTAGTCCCAAAACTCACAATGGGAAGAGTTTAGTGGATCTCCCTTCTGCATCTTTCACCTGCACGAAGCCAGTCATCGATGACTCCCTGAAATCCAGGAACCTCTCGGTGCCAGACGACGGGGATTTCAGTTTTGTGAGTCCCAAGGACTTGATGGCTCCCATAGGATCTGTGGTTTTGAATATGACCGACCAGGCAGGAAATCGCGGCAACTTGGTTTGCGATGTCCAGAGACCTAAAGAAATGTCTCCCATCTCGTTTGACCAAAGCGGCCCCTGCAGAGTGCTCCAAGCCTCCTTCTCAGCATTCCTGGTGTGTGGCATCGATTATGGGCACATCCAGCAGCTGTGGAGCATCCTGGCCCTGTACAGCAGCTCTCCTTTGAAACTGGAGCAAACCGTGGGGACAGCTGAGGAGCCTTCTGTCAGCCACAGATACAGGCAGGCGCACGGCGAGAAGGACGAGCTGTTCACCAGGGTGGAGGCCGAGCTGCGGGCCGAGCCGGCGTGGCTGCTGCAGAGGCAGGTGTGGCTGCAGCTGGACAGGACGGCCACCACGCTCAGCACGCTGCACCTGCGCTACGCCACCCACGCCCGGGTGGCCCTGCCCAGCCAGGACAGGGAGCAGGGCAGCCACGGCTGGGCCCTCATTGCCAGGGACAACGGCACCCAGACGGAGCACACGGTGCTGGTGGGGGGCACGGTGCAGCTGGGGTGCCAGGCGGCCGGGCAGCCAGCTCCTGCCGTGGGGTGGATACTGGCCGATGGCAGCAGGGTGCGAGCCCCCCACATCAGCGAGGATGGCAGGATCCTGGTCCTCAAGAGCGGGCTGCTGACGCTGAGGACAGCTGACGTGTTCGACTCGGGGCTCTACCACTGCATCAGCACCAGCCCCGGGGACGCCGACGTGCTCACATTCCGGATTACAGTGCTGGATCCCCACGTGGGACGCGGCGGCGTCAATGGAGCCCGGCTGCCCGCTGCTCTCGGCAGCACGCTGCACCTGCCCTGCACGGCCACGGCTGCCCCGGACCCTGCCGTCACCTGGGTGCTCCCTGAGCACGCAGTCCTCCGCCAGTCTGCTGGAAACAAGCACATTTTTGCCAATGGCACCTTGAGAATACAGGGAGTGACGCAGCGAGACCTGGGCTACTTCCGATGCGTGGCGGCCAACCGGTTCGGGGTCGATCTTTTGGTTTTCCAAGTGCTGGCGAGACAGGATGAAACGGCTCTGAAGGAAAGGCATGGAGCTGTGGGAGAGTGGGAAGAGGGCTCTGGCAATGAGCTGCTGCGCCCTGCTGCGGCACAGAGACGCCCCTCAGGCGCTGCAGGCTCCCTGAGGGCTCTCGGGGAACCCGCGGCACCAGCGGCCAGCAGCCCGGGCACACACCATGGGAACACGCCTCGCTGGCCCCACACTGACAGCACGGGCCGGCGCTTCAGGGGACACAGGAGACAGTTTGTTCCCTCGGGCAGGAGAGCTGATCCACAGCGCTGGGCAGCCCTGCTGCAGAAAACAAAGAGGAACTCGACGGTGGCACACAAACGAGGAGAAGCTGCGACAGAACCACCCGTTCAAGCCCATAGGCTCTCAGAGGTACCCGGGGAGGAGGAGGAGGCATCTGGTGATCTCGTATCTCCAGAAGAAGAATTCATGATAGCAGCAACAGAGAGATCCCCAGTGCCTGCTCTGGGCAGAGCAGCAGAGCTCACCATCACTGCAGGGCCCAAGGGGACTGAGAATCCCCCTCCTGCCTGGAGCACCTCTGTTCTGCCCACAGAGCCAATAACTCCCCTACCCTCACCTCCTCCACACCCTGGGGCACTTGCCAGCAAAAGGCTGCAAACACTTCCCAAACCTACAGACGCATGGGAAAGATCCGATTTGAGTCACATATCAGCAAATGGTGTAAAACAGCCAGCTGTACCAAGTGAGACAGCCACACTCTTCCCTGCTGGGCAAAAGTCAATACATTCTGGGGAAAGTAATAACCAGCACCTAAATTCTGCATCCTTGACAGAAGCTACAGGCACCAGCAATGCTGTAACCCCCCAAAACACAGCATACAAGTTACATATTTTTACTGGGTCTATTGATAATGTCTCCACCGGAACAGATCACCAGGTCCCTGTGGCGACAGTCAATGCACCAAGCTCTGAATTTGGCCCCATTTATTTTCATAGTACTCAGAAAGGAGGAGCCCCTAATCCACCTGCCTCGACTTCCACTACTCACCTGCAAATTCAGGTTATCCAGGACGTTCCAACCCATCCAGCCCAGCTCCAGCAGCACCATGGAAGACGAAGGAAAATTTCTGGTCGGAGACGAATGGTTAGACCAGGACGTCTCCCAGGCATGAAGGAGCCCCGGTACAATTTTGGGAGGCCAGGGTCTGTCAGAGGAAGTACAGCTGTGGCTACAGGTGTTCAACTGAACATGAACTATGCATCAAATGTACCAACCTTGAACAACTCCAGCAGTTCCATCAATCCATTTAGCCCAGAAACACCCTGGTCCTCCCCCTCCACCATGAAAATGCCATTGGAGCACCCCGTGGGTACCCATCAAAACACAGCATTCCTCAGGGAGGAGGAAAAGAAACATGGTGCAAGGCAAAGAGCTGCTGCCACAGTTGTGTCTGTCACTGCAGAGGACACTGCCCCTACTGCAGCCAGTGGATTGGGTGTGAAGCCAACGGTCACACTCGTTCTTACTCCTCAAACCAACACCAGAGCCACCAAAAGCAAAATACTCAGAGTGGGAGGAAGGAGAGGTCAGAGGAGGAAGAGGCCTCCTAAAACACCTGCCCCACGGCGTGTGGCTGCAGCCCAGAGCACTGCAGGCACCCCTGCAGTGGGCACAGGCACCCCTGCAGCCCAGAGCACTGCAGCCATCCCTGCAGGCACCCCTGCAGCGAGCACAGCCACTCCTGCAGCCCAGAGCACTGCAGCCACCCCTGCAGCGAGCACAGCCACTCCTGCAGCCACCCCTGCAGCCACCCCCACGGTGACAGCTCCTGCGTCACCAGCTGTAAATCCAAGCCTTGCAGCTGCAATCCCTGTCCCTGGGAGCAGCAGTGCAGTCCCCAGCACCGAAGCAGCAGCACTGGGGGTCCCCGAGAGCCCCGAGGCGCCTCAGCACAGGCCCACGGCAGCCACACAGACAGCAGCAGCAGCCCCGGGCACCTGGAGGGGCACCCCGTCAGCAACGCCCCTGCCCGGCACCGCGACTGCTCAGAACCCCCCCATGGCACCCCAAACCCCACCGGGCTCGCACAGGAACACCCAGCGGGCCACGGCACCCGCTGCCAGTCCTGCCCAGACCCCCACCACGGGTGCCCAAGCCTCACCACGGCCGGAGGAGCCCCCTGGTTCCACCAGGGCCGTGCCAGGGCCAGGGCCTGCCCAGCGCACCAGGGCCGGTGCCAGGGCAGGAGGAGAGCCCCGCCTGGCTCTGGGGAAGGGAGCTGCGCGGGAGCAGCAGGCAGCACAGCCCACGGTGCCAGCCGGAGCCGTGCCCGCTGCAGCCACTGCAGCCACTGCCCCCAGCGCCCTGCGCCCCTCCGCCCTGCCAGCCCCCACGGCCGCCGGGCCCGCAGCGCCCCCAAGAGCGCCCCCAGCCCCCCGGGGGCACGGCCAGCCCCATCCCCAGCCCCATCCCCAGCTCCAGCCCCATCCCCATCCCCAGCCCCATCCCCAGCTCCAGCCCCAGCCCCATCCCCAGCCCCAGCCCCAGCCCCAGCCCCATCCCCAGCTCCATCCCCATCCCCATCCCCATCCCCATCCCCATCCCCATCCCCCTCCCCAGCTCCAGCCCCAGCTCCAGCCCCATCCCCAGCCCCAGCCCCATCCCCAGCCCCAGCCCCAGCCCCAGCCCCATCCCCAGCTCCATCCCCATCCCCAGCCCCATCCCCATCCCCATCCCCATCCCCATCCCCCTCCCCATCCCCAGCCCCAGCTCCATCCCCATCCCCATCCCCATCCCCCTCCCCAGCCCCATCCCCATCCCCAGCCCCAGCCCCATCCCCAGCCCCATCCCCATCCCCATCCCCAGCCCCCTCCCCAGCTCCAGCCCCATCCCCATCCCCATCCCCCTCCCCATCCCCATCCCCATCCCCATCCCCAGCCCCCTCCCCATCCCCATCCCCAGCTCCATCCCCATCCCCATCCCCAGCCCCATCCCCAGCCCCATCCCCATCCCCATCCCCATCCCCATCCCCCTCCCCAGCTCCAGCCCCAGCCCCATCCCCAGCTCCATCCCCATCCCCAGCCCCAGCCCCATCCCCCTCCCCATCCCCAGCCCCAGCCCCATCCCCCTCCCCATCCCCAGCCCCAGCCCCATCCCCATCCCCATCCCCAGCCCCAGCCCCAGCTCCAGCCCCATCCCCAGCCCCATCCCCATCCCCATCCCCAGCCCCCTCCCCAGCTCCAGCTCCAGCCCCATCCCCATCCCCAGCCCCATCCCCAGCTCCATCCCCATCCCCAGCCCCAGCCCCAGGGCACCGAGAGGGGGAACGCGCTGCAGGCACCACAGGTCCCATCTCCACGGGGACGGGACAGGGACAGCTCCGTCAGTGCCTCGTCTGACAGGAGACAGAACCAAGACACCACCACCCTGCCCAGCCCCATCACCGCAGGCTCTGCAAGCAGAAACCATTTCTCCAAGCCCAGAATAGTCGGAGGGAAGGTGGCTGCTTTCACCGTGCTGGCGGATTCCGATGCTTTCATTCCTTGTGAAGCTACTGGGAACCCCCCTCCGACGATACAGTGGACCAAGATATTAGCAGGTGAGCTTGATAAACCTCTCTAGAATTTACCTTCCATTAGCCCTGTAGTTTGGTACCTCTTCTGTGTGCCAAACTCAAGCATTGCTTCATTTCAGAGTACTGAGAAATATTAGTGAAAGGTAAACTTGGAAACAGTGACAGACTCGATGGAGAATCTTAGTGGTGATTCTGGAACAGATCTTTAGTGAAATTATTAGAAAAATCAAGTCTATGTTTAATTATAATTCCTTGCTTATCATGGGAAGAATTCAGTATTCATTGCACATTACCTGCTATTCCAGGACAGTGGGACAAGCAAAAACAAAAATGTGGTAAAAACCACTTAAATTAGGTTACAGCTGTGCCAGGTTTGGATTGCAAAGCCCCACGTGCTTTATCCAAACTTTGTCTCTACTGGACATTCAGCTTCATTCCTACTTTAAAGCTTTATCAGTCTAAATGCAGAATTCGCTGATTTCTTTCTGGTTTATCACTGTTGTCTTGGTTATTTGGGCAGAGAAGAGCAGGTCAGGGTATTTGGGACTGAGGAAAATGCATCAAGAGGCAGGCTGTGCCAGTCAGTGCCAGGTTATCCCAGGCAGTCCCAGGCAGTGCCAGGCTATCCCAGTGTGTCCCAGGCAGTCCCAGGTTACCCCAGTGTGTCCCAGGCAGTGCAGGCAATGCCAGGCTATCCCAGGCAGTCAGGCAGTGCCAGACTTTGCCAGGTTATCCCAGGCAGTGCCAGGCAGTGCCAGGCTGTCCCAGGCAGTCAGGCAGTGCCAGACTTTGCCAGGTTATCCCAGGCAGTGCCAGGCAGTGCCAGGCTGTCCCAGGCAGTCAGGCAGTGCCAGACTTTGCCAGGTTATCCCAGGCAGTGCCAGGCAGTGCCAGGCTGTCCCAGTGCGTCCCAGGCAGTGACTGTCCGTGCCTTGCTCCGCAGGGCGCGACGCCGCGGCCGCCGGCGGTGCCAGCCGCTGGTCGGTGCTGCCCAACGGGACGCTGTCCATCGCGCGGGCGGCGCCGCGGGACGGCGGGCAGTACGAGTGCACGGCGGCCAACGCGCTGGGCTCGGCGCGGCTGCGGGCCACGCTGGCCGTGCTGGCGCTGCCGCCGCGCATCGCCGCCGCCCGCCCGCCCACCGCGCTCTCGGGGGGCTCGGCGGCGCTGCCGTGCCGGGCGCGGGGCAGCCCCCCGCCCCGCGTCTCCTGGCTGCTGCCCGACGGCTCCGAGCTGCGGCCGGGCGCCGCGGGCCGCGGCAGGGCGGCGGTGCGGCCCGACGGCACGCTGCTGCTGCGGGCGCTCACCGTGTCCGACCGCGGCACCTACACCTGCCGCGCCCGCAACGCCGCGGGCTCCGCCGCGCTGCCGCTGCGGCTGCAGGTGGTGGCGGCGCCGCCCGCCATCCTGGAGGAGCGCAGGCAGAGCGTGGCGGCGGCGGCGGGGCAGAGCCTGCGCCTGCCCTGCACGGCGCGGGGGCGGCCCCGGCCCAGCGTGCACTGGGTGCTGCCCGGCGGCGCCGAGCTCGGACCGGGGCGGGCGCTGCCCGCCGGGCCGGCCCTGCTGCCCAACGGCACCCTGCTCCTGGGCAGCGCCGGCCCCGCCGACAGCGGCACCTACGAGTGCATCGCCACCAGCTCCACGGGCTCCGACCGGCGCGTGGTCAGCCTCACGGTGCAGCACACAGACGCGCCTCCCAAAATTGCCAGCGCCTCCCAGGAACCGACGCGGCTGAGCTTTGGGGACAGGCTGCTTCTGAACTGTACAGCAAGTGGGGAGCCCAAGCCCAGCATAATCTGGAGGCTGCCCTCCAAGGCTCTTGTGGACCAGTGGCACAGGTATGACCCTTTTTTCCTCCCCCTCTGTGGAGCTCCAAACACTGTCAGCTCTGGTGCTCATGTAAGAGCCTATTACAGCACTAATACGCTGTGAACTAAACCAAATTTTAAGTATTAATAGTTGTGAAACATCTGTTCTAACAGCATCTATATCTAATAACAGACCTATTAACAGATTACATCAATTGCCGTAGGTGAATGAGGTCTCAAAACAGGTACAAGTCATATTTGAATTAAGGTAATTGCTGTCACCATGCACTGGCTGGCTGCTGTCAGTTTAGAGGAGGGGGTTATTTGTAACAGATTTCTGAAGCAGGGATCAGGAGGGAGGGGTTTCTCTCATCTCTGCCATGTCTACCTTTGGGGTGTCCCCCCACCCTCTCCCACAGTAACACTCACCTCCACCTTAGGAGAGACAGCCCCAGCCCAGGGTGATCCCAGCAGAGCCAGCGCCACTCACATCCACACAACTCAGCTCCAGAACTGGCAGTGACATCGGGGCAGGACACGCTGGGTGGGCAGGAGGCATGGGCACAGCGCCTGTGGAAAGGCTCTGTGTTGTATCCTGCTGCTAGCACGTTCAGTGCCTTCCAGTGCTCAGTGTTCACCCCCAGCACTTGCCTCCATAATTCTTTTCCTCTCTCTCTGTCCCAACAGAATGGGAAGTCGGATCCATGTCTACCCCAACGGATCCTTGGCTATTGAGGCAGTTACAGAAAAGGATGCAGGCGATTACCTGTGCGTCGCAAGAAACAGAATCGGGGAAGATCTGATCCTGATGAAAGTCAGCATCGCAATGAAACCAGCCAAGATTGACCACAAACAGCAGTTCAAGAAGCTGGTGCCGTACGGGAAGGATTTCAGAGTGGACTGCAAGGCCTCGGGGTCGCCCACCCCAGCAATATCCTGGGGCCTGCCGGACGGGACGGTGGTGAACAACGCAATGCTGGCGGACAACAGCGGGCACAGGGCTCGCAGGTACGTCCTGTTCCACAATGGCACTCTGCACCTCAACAAAGCTGGAATGGCAGAAGGAGGAGACTACACGTGCTACGCCCAAAACATGCTGGGGAGGGACGAGATGAAGATCCACGTCACGGTCGTTGTGGCAGCCCCTCAAATAAAGCACAGCCACAAGACACACGTCGCAGTGACAGCTGGAGACACAGCCCTGCTGGACTGTGAGGCTGCGGGAGAGCCCAGGGCACAGATACTCTGGCTGCTGCCCTCCGGTGAGATGATCTCCTCGTCCACAGACAGGCACTCCCTGCACGCCAACGGCTCGCTGTCCATCGGGCAGGCCGGCCTGCTGGATGCTGGGGAGTACCTGTGCGTGGCTCGGAACCCTGGCGGGGACGACAGCAAGCTGTACAGGCTGGCTGTGGCTGCCAAACCCCCCATCATCAATGGCCTACACAGGAACAAAACCATCATGAAGGTGACGGCAGTGAGGCACTCCAAGAAACACATCGACTGCCGGGCAGAGGGGACACCTCCTCCCCAGATTATGTGGATCATGCCTGATAACATTTTCCTAACGGCCCCATATTACGGGAGCAGGATCGTGGTGCACAAGAACGGGACACTTGAGATTCGGAACATCAGGCCCTCAGACATGGGGGATTTTATCTGTGTGGCACGTAACGATGGGGGAGAGACTGTGCTGGTGGTGCAGCTGGAAGTCACGGAAATGCTACGGAGACCAATGTTCAAAAACCCTTTCAACGAAAAAATAATAGCCAAACCTGGGAAGCCTATCACCCTGAACTGCTCTGTGGATGGAAACCCTCCCCCGGACATAAGCTGGATGCTGCCCAATGGCACGTGGTTTTCCAGCAGCATCAGGACAGCCCAGTTTGTCACAGGGAGCAGCGGCACCCTGACCATCGCCAGCGCCCAGAGCCAGCACGCCGGGCGGTACCGCTGCGCTGCGCGGAACCAGGTGGGCTACATCGAGAAGCTGCTGCTGCTGGAGGTGGCCCAGCGGCCCAGGATCCTGAGCCAGCCGGCAGGGCTGGTGCGGGCGGCCAGCGGGGAGCCCCTGGCCCTGCACTGCCCGGCCGAGGGCAGCCCCAGGCCCCGCGTGGCCTGGACGCTGCCCGGGGGCCGCGTGCTGCAGCGGCCGCAGCTCCGCGGGCGGCTCCTGCTGCTGGACAACGGCACCCTGCTCATCGGGGCGGCCTCGCCCCTCGACTCGGGCACCTACCTGTGCCGGGCCCACAACGACGCCGGGGACTCCTCCCTCAGCGTCCCGGTCCTGGTCGCGGCCTACGCCCCGCGGATCGCGGGCAGGCCGCCCCCGGCCATCCACACCACGCCGGGGGTGGCCCTTCAGCTCCACTGCGTCGCGCTGGGCCTCCCCAAGCCAGAAATCACCTGGGAGCTGCCTGACCGCTCCGTGCTCTCCACGGCTCACCAGGCCCGGGGCTCCGGGGGCGCGCTGCTCCACCCCACGGGGACCCTGCTCCTGCAGAACCCCCAGCCCTCCAGTTCTGGCACCTACAGGTGCACAGCGAGGAACCCCCTGGGCACCGACACTGCAGCCACCTACGTCCACGTCATCTGAGCCAGGAGCGCTGCAGGAGTGGTGGGAACACAGGCTGCAGCCAGGCTGGGCTCAGCCCTGCAACGGCTTCAATCAAAGGCGGCCGCAAGCGCCTGAGTGCCTGGGCACATCACAGCATTCAGTCTGCAAAAGGAGAGAGGAAAGGGAAAATCAGCTCTAGCATCATTTGCTAGCATTGGTTCTCTCCATGTTCAGGGCATTTAAAGGAAAGCAAAATTAAGGCACTTAAGTGCCTGAGCCACAGCAGGAACAAACCCAGCAGTGCCCGAGCTACAGCAGGAACAAACCCCACAGTACCTGAGCCATGGCAGGAACAAACCCCACAGTACCTGGGCTACAGCAGGAACAAACCCCACAGTGTCTGATCCAGAGCAGGAACAAACCCCACAGTACCCGAGCCATGGCAGGAGCAAACCCCACAGTACCTGAGCTACAGCAGGAACAAACCCCACGGTGCCCGAGCCATGGCAGGAACAAACCCCACGGTGCCACGGCAGGAACAAACCCCACAGTGCCTGAGCCATGGCAGGAACAAACCCCTTAGTGCCCAAGCTACAGCAGGAACAAACCCCACAGTACCCAAGCCACCAGTGCTGGCTGCACCGCCCTGGCACCGGGGCCAGCAGGTGGGGCGGGCAGGAGGGCAGGAGGGCGTCCTGCACAGCGGGGACACAGGCAGCACCTGAGAGCTCTCAGAACCCCGCTCCCTTCCTGCGCTGCAGGCTCCAGCAGGGCGCTCAGCCTGCACTAGAGAAGCGTTCACGATGCCCCGCTGCAGCTGTGGCACTGAGCACACCCACACTCTGCGCCCACCATCCACCTCTGGGCCCTCAGCTTTACACATCTGCCTCCTCAATCCCCAGCTGTTTTCTTCATTAGACCCAGTGAAAGTGCACGTGCTTCTAATGCTTTTAATAAGTGATTCTTTGGAAATCTGATGTGCTGAATAAAACTGGAGTAATCCTGTACCCTAATAACTCCGTGGGCACTACAGAAACCGCCCCAGCTTTGCTCAGCAAAACCTGGTGCTTACTGAAGGCAGTTTCAGTGTTTTACAAGACTTCAGCATCTTTTCCCTTTCTGAAACCAAATCCCTCACTTTAAACATGTTGTGTAATCTCCTGGCTGCCAGGCTGTAGGAACTGCTGAGGTTATCAAAGGCACTAGCAGCACATGGAGGTTTTTGGGGGCACAAACCCAGCCCACAGCACCTTCTGCTGTGCAGGTGCTGGCAGAGGAGTCTGCACCAGGCAGGTGCCCATTGCAGCAGCACTCTCTCATCAGTTTGTTCAACATATAAGAACTATTAAAAACCCCTCAAAAATGGATGAAAATTATGTAAGATTAATACTTTTTAACTCAAAAGCTGCAATATCAGCATGACTGTATTTTCTCTACTTTTCTATAGCAAACTTTTCCTAGTTATCCTCACCTACCTTAAATATGTTTGGAAAAACTGTGGCAATAAAGGAAACAAGCATATTGAGAATTAAAAAGGATTTGGCAGTGACAAATGTTGGGTAAATTCATTCCCTAACCCAGCAAAGGCTCCAATCCAGCAGAAAGTAGTGTCTCAGAAGTAATTAAGTTTGTTCAGCTGTCTTCATGCAACTCTGGTTTATTACTAACAATTTAATTTTAAAGGATCTTCAAACAGTAATCCCCATTTTCCCCCCAGCCTGTTAGCAGTGCAGCCCAAAATTCAAGGATGCCAAGTTAGGAGCAGTGCCCTGTGATGGGGCACAGCAGGGGCTGGGGGCAGCTTGATAAAAGCCATGTAACTCTCTGTCAGCATGCAGAGGTCATCTTATACATTTGTTTTCAAAAGCAGCATTTCCTTAAACTTTTTAGCCACTCTCTAGTATATTCTGAAGACTTTACACAGTTATAATACAGGTTAGTTGTATTTGGAGCTTCAGGAATAAATATTTAATATTTATAACTGGAACCAAACATTTAAACTTCTGCTCAGAGAAGTCACAGGAATGTTTCTCAGTTCATCACACAGTGCTGCCCTCTGGAGCCAGTAAATCGCTGTAAAACTCTAATTCACTAACCAGAGGAAACAGAGGCAATCCCCCACAAAATAAAGCACATATCCAAAATGCTGGGAAAATGTGAGCCTGTGGATTTATTACATCTAGAAGATAGCAAATTACTCACCGTGGCTCTTGGTATGAATCACAGAGGAAACAACCCAAAGGTTCTGGTGATTCCCACTGCCGGCTCCAGGCACACCCCAGCCTCAGGAGCAGGCACCTTCTCCAGGCATGGTCAGGTGGAGACCAGGACAGCTCAAAGTACCAGGGTATGAGCAACATGAAACTCTAGTGAAACATCAAAAGGCCAGAAAACCATCTCAAAATCACAGCTACTTGAGCCACAGCATGTGGGCAATGCAGCTGGATGCTGAGGGAACGTCCATGGGCAAAATGCAGCTGGATGCTGAGGGAACATCCATGAACAATGCAGCTGTATGGATGCTGAGGGAATGTCCATGGGTGATCCAGCTGGATGGATGCTGAGGGAATCCCAGCACAACCACACCAGGGCTGGCCACACTGGTGCCAGGCACATTTCCAAACTCGTGCTCCCAGTGACTGCTGAGCTCAGGAACCCACAGCCCCAGCCCCAGCAGAAGGGAGAGCGTCTCAGACACCAGAGCAGGCTGCACAGCAGGACAGGTTAGTGTGGGAGGCTTTTCCAAACTGGTTCCATTCGAATGGGACCTGGGTTTAGCAGTTTAATATGTGAGATTTTCCAAACTGGTTCCGTTGGAATGGGACCTGGGTCTAAACCAAGGTGTTTGGTGTCAATACAACACGACCAGGAAGCATTTCAGAAAGCTGCTGATGCAGTCACAGCTGCAGCTTGCCCCAGACAGGAGGAAGCACACACAAACCTGGGTGAGAGCTATCAGGGCTGCCAAGCCCTGGTGATGCTCCCTGTCCCCAGCTCCTTCTGGGGGCACACACACATCAGCCAGACAGAAACACAGGGCACGCCACCACACTGCTTTCACTATTAGAAAACATCCACTTTCTGCATGAATCATTTCCTTGTGCTTTTACTAAATTTAAGCAAGTGGCTTTGCAAGGTTTTGGGGGTTTTCTCTTTGTTTGAAGAATGTAAGTTTTCTTTTCATCTCTTCTTTAAATGCAACACAGAAGGTACATAATGCAAGTTTAGTGTCCCAGACATGAATAAAAGTAACTAAGTGTCTTGCAGGGTTCCCAAATTTAATAGAATATGAAGAGATTCCTAGAAATCTCTTCCCGTGCCCACATTCCTGTATTCTTATTTTCTTCTATTTCTTCTTGTTATCACCAGCAATGTTTCAGTCTTTCCTTTTTTTCCCAGACACGAGGAATGACAGGATTAAAACATGAGCACAGAAAGCAATTCAAAGGAAATGCTGAAAGTGACACACATGACAGTTACTTTTAATTTCTTCCCTGCATGCCTGTAAGCCCTTTTGCTGTGCTCAGGCCCCCCTTGGGAGGGGTTTGGCAGGTCTGAGGTGAGTGTCCCGCTGATGAGGACCCCCAGCACGTCCCTGAGAGTGAGGACAGGTGTTATCCTGGGAGCTGTGGCTGCAGGAGGCCCGGAGGGAGATCTGGTTCATGGCAGAGGCCCCAGAGGCAGCTCAGAGCCAGCACAGGCTCCAGCAGAGCAGGAGGAATCACAGTGCCCAACCAGGGAAATGCTCCGGGGAGGAAAAGAGAATAAAGGCTCCAGTGCTTTCCCAAATGGAGGCACAGCCAGCACAGAACCTCTGAAGGAAGCAGTAACAGGACAAAAAGATAACAATTACACACATGCAGCCTAGGCCTAAAGCTGTAATGACAGGAGCCAGCTGTTTGAACAGTGCAGAGGCTCTGGCTGCTCTGCAGATCCACAGCCCCTGAGGATGGGCTGCAGGAGCAGCAGGGCCAGTCTGGCTGCACTGGTGCTCCCTGCACTGTCACACATGCATGTCTGGCTGCACTGGTGCTCTCCTGCACTGTCACACATGCATGTCTGGCTGCACTGGTGCTCTCCTGCACTGTGTCAGACAGTCTGGCTGCACTGGTGCTCCCTGCACAGTCACACATGCATGTCTGGGCTGCACTGTTGCTCCCCTCACTGTGTCAGACAGTCTGGCTGCACTGGTGCTCCCTGCACAGTCACACATGCATGTCTGGGCTGCACTGGTGCTCTCCTGCACTGTGTCAGACAGTCTGGCTGCACTGGTGCTCCCTGCACTGTCAGACATGCATGTCTGGCTGCACTGCTGCTCCCTGCACTGTCACACATGCATGTCTGGCTGCACTGGTGCTCCCTGCACTGTCACACATGCATGTCTGGCTGCACTGGTGCTCTCCTGCACTGTGTCAGACAGTCTGGCTGCACTGGTGCTCCCTGCACTGTCACACATGCATGTCTGGGCTGCACTGCTGCTCCCTGCACTGTCACACATGCATGTCTGGGCTGCACTGTTGCTCCCCTCACTGTGTCAGACAGTCTGGCTGCACTGGTGCTCCCTGCACAGTCACACATGCATGTCTGGGCTGCACTGGTGCTCTCCTGCACTGTGTCAGACAGTCTGGCTGCACTGGTGCTCCCTGCACTGTCACACATGCATGTCTGGGCTGCACTGGTGCTCTCCTGCACTGTGTCAGACAGTCTGGCTGCACTGGTGCTCCCTGCACTGTCAGACATGCATGTCTGGCTGCACTGCTGCTCCCTGCACTGTCACACATGCATGTCTGGCTGCACTGGTGCTCCCTGCACTGTCACACATGCATGTCTGGCTGCACTGGTGCTCTCCTGCACTGTGTCAGACAGTCTGGCTGCACTGGTGCTCCCTGCACTGTCAGACATGCATGTCTGGGCTGCACTGCTGCTCCCTGCACTGTCACACATGCATGTCTGGGCTGCACTGGTGCTCCCCTCACTGTGTCAGACCGTCTGGCTGCGCTGGTGCCCCAAGTTTGTTATCAGCTGAGATGCATTTGCAGGGCTTCGTGC